GCATTTCTATTAAATTGGACTCCCTGTGATCATGTTTTTAGAAGAGATTAACACAAGTTGCCCGGCGTAATGTGGTCAGGCCTTACCCAATGGGTAGGAGAACTGAAGAGAACAAAAGGCTCAGCTTCCCCTAAGCAAGAGACAACTCTACAGATGATTGCCTCAAGACACAGACTGGACAATTGGCTTTCCTGAGTCTACCATCACATCCTGTAGAGTTTTGGACTTGCCAGTCTCTTTAGTTAAGTGAGACAATTTCTTATAGTAGCTCTATATGTCTATCTATCTATCTATCTATCTATCTATCTATCTATCTATCTATCCATCCATCATCTATCCTGTTGGTTTGATTCCTCTGCATAGCCCTAACATAACTATTCTCCTACCATTTACGTCAGAGTCTGTCAGTGTGAGGGGAATTAGCAAGCCGGGGAGCCTTGCCCATGCAGTGTTGGTTTCTGGCTTTCCTCTACTCTCCAGGTCCATCTATCTGCACATCTGTCTTGCCTGGTGTTGTGAAGCTTACCTCTTCCAAATTGAAACAATCTCACCTAGAAGAAGGAAGGAAGCTCATCAGACTCAGGAAGCTAATGGAATGGACATAGCTTAGAAGCTCCCAACGAGAGAAGATTCCCGATGTGATAAGAGCAGCCCACCATTGCAGGAAGTAGAGATAGCTTAGTGGCATTGGATGCAAGCTGTATGGTGCCTATGAGTCATCACTTATGTTGGTGGACTTTTTGGTGATCTTGCTGTTTTGAGGTCACCCATACCTCTGTAATCCTTTCTCCTATGCTCATCAAAGTAGCCCCAGTAAACTCCTTGGCTCATCATTATTGCTTTGTGTGGAATCATTTCTTTGGTCTGACATTGATGTTCAGGCAGAGAGGAGTATGTGTTTGTTCACAGGGAAACGTCACACAAAACTTGGTTTGGGATTGTGCTCCTGATGCGTACTCCTTTTCCTCTGTTGGGATAGAGGTCTACCCTGATCCCTGCCTCTGGGCTGACATCCTGCCAATCTCTCTTCATCTTTCCAGTTTGAGGATCTACTTGGTGCTGCCACATCCCCTTTATTGGACTGACTGTCTTGATTTTGCCCATGTCAGAGTAATTCTCATCTAATCCTCCCCTCATAGGCTGGCTTCTCTTAGAACCTGATGCTCCCAGCTGGGAAAAGGTCAGGTTTGGTTTGCATACTTATAAAGCATGCTCCTCTTTGAGCTTATCACTCTGGACCCCTCCTTTACTACTTACAGAGCTGACCACACCCCAGAGACAGCTCCAGGTTTGGGCCTCTTTGGCCTCAGCATCTCTCTTTTCTCTTTTTGTTCCTCCTTGATGTCTTCACTTGCCTGATATGAAGTTATCAAAACTGGGTAGATCATTTAGATGGCTTACTATAAAGAAGGAAATAAGTAAAAGCTAGGCCATAGTGGGGCTCACAGCAAGGGTTAGGGGTATCCAGAGAGGGATGAGAACACTTTCTATTAGAGGAGGGTAGACTGCCCCGTTGTGCTGAGCTTTGAAGTTAAGTGACATTTTGGGAGGAGCTTGAGATGGACCTCAGAGAATGATGTGAAATGAAGAGCTGGGAAGAATTCTGGGAGCCTGGGGGATAGGAAGCCTGTGGGTAGAGAAAGAAGGACAAGAAAGTGTGGGAAGTAGATGAGGCTGGAGAGACTGAGGAGAATCAGCTAACGCTGGTCTATCCAGGACGAGTCAATGAGCTGCTAGCTTCTATAAGATAGCCATGGGTGATACCTTTCTACGAGGATAGCACAAGGGCTGGAGAGCAGAATGCTTTTCCTGGTTGCCATTTGGTGAAGGAGCACTGGCTGAGTCACTTGGAAGAGCTTGAGGGAGTCAGGTCCTTCCTCTGGGACACAGGGCAAGGTGCTACACTGGAAAACGCCTTACATCCTGCCCAGCCACACAGCTTTATGAGTTTGATATAAATTTTGCTCTCTAGAGTAGTGTTAATAGGAGAGTTACATACTTATAGGCATTTGCATGAGGAATTTTTAATTATAAAATTTCAAGCATAAACAAATGATGTCTACCTGCATTTTAAGCTCTTGCCACATCTAAACATTTTCTTCTTTAGATTGAATTATTGAAACATATTAAAACATATCATTCAACTCCACCTCCTGTTGTGTTCTAAAATAAAAAGATACTAAGATGGCTTTTAAGTTCACTGTTATGCTTCACAGAGAATACTTCGATCTATTGTACAGATCAAGACAATGTTTTTCCAGTTGTCTTAAGGCTGCCGTTTGACAGTCTGTCAGAATTAGGATACTGAGAGTGTTCAGGTGTGATGTGTCACATCTTTTTCACCTCTTTTAGAGAACAGATATTTTAAATGCAAACATTATTCTGCTTTTGTAGAACCAGCAAGGATCACCTTAGGAAAGTTCGAGAAGACAATTCAGAGGACCTACTATCTGGCTGTCCCTCGGCTGGTCTTCCTTCAGATAGGAAGGTGCTGCTTCTGTCACATGCTTTGTTTTGTGGTACTTGTGGGACCTATTTTCTTTCTTTTTTTAAACAACAACAACAACAACATCTTTTTTCTGTAGTCCTTGCTAGTCTAAAACTTACAATGACCACATTGGCCTTAAACTCACTAAAATCTGCTGGCCTCTGCCTCCAATAGTGCCAGGATCAAAATATGCCACCTGACTATCCTCTGAGAGGCCCGATCCACCAATTGGCTCAGACAGAGGCATATGCCCATAGCCAAATAGTGGATGGAGCTTGGGAACTCATATGGAAGAATAAAAGGAAAGATTGAGACCCCTAAGGGGATAGGAACTCCACAGGAAGAGCAGCAGAATCAACTAACCTGGACCCTTGGGGCTCTCAGAGCCTCAACCACCAATCAAAGAACATACAAGGGCTGGACCTAGGCCTCTGTGCACATATGTAACAGGTGTGCAGCTTGGTCTTCATGTGGGTCCTGAACAACTGGAATTAGAGCTATCCCAAAAGCTGTTGCCTGTATGTGGGATATTTTCAAACTGGGCTGTCTTGTCTGGCCTCAGTAGGAGAAGAAGCATCTAGCCTTACACAAACTTGATGTGCCAGAGTCGGGGGACACCCAGGGGACCTCCATTCACTCGGAGAAGGGGAGGGAAGATGGGGCAAAGAATTTTTGGAGAGGGTGACCAGGAAGGGGGCAGTGACCAAGATGTAAAGTGAATAAGTTTAAAAAAAGTAACTTTTTTTTTTAAATGGGAAAAAAAAGAAATATGCCACCCGGTCTGGCAGGACCTATTTTCAAAAATATATGCAGAGCTTAAACTATAGATGTTTCATTAAGTAGAAATGGGTCCGTGGAAACTCTGTATAGGGAGGGTCTTGAATGCACAACCCTCTCAAGGATTGGTGAGTGGTGAGCTTCAGAAACAGGCCTTTGGAGTCTTCCTTCTTTTATAAATTTTAAGTTTGTTCTTTCTTTTTTCCTAGTAGAAGAGCCAGTTGGTTTCTTGTCACTGGTTTCCTGCTGAGTTTGACTTAATTCTGATTCAATGCACATTGCTTTAGAAGCAGGAAGCTAGGGATCATCGGAGATGGCCCTGGCTCTGCCAACACCTGGCCAACATATGTCACCTCTCTGCTGAAAGAAGCTGAAGACCTAGAGCATGGAGCCGCTGCTCAGAACCTTCAACATGAGACTAGATACCTTGATTCTGACAGAAGAGAAAGTAGGAAATAGGATTGGACTCACACAGAAAGACTTTCTGGGAAAGATACCAATGGCAGAGGCACTGAGATCAATAATTTATAAATGAGCCCTCATAAAGGTGAAAAGCCCCTGTGCAGCAAAAAACATTCAAGTGTCATTCAAGTGGCAACCACAGAGTGTTAAAATGTCATTATCAATTATATGTCTGATAGAGGGCTAGTATCTAGAATATAGAAAGAACTAAATACCTGAACATCAAGAAAGCAAATAACCCAATTAAAAATGGGATATAGAGGGATGGAGAGGTGGCTCAGAGGTTAAGAGCACTGGCTGCTCTTCCAGAGGTCTTGAGTTTAATTCCCAGTAACCACATGGTGGCTCACAACCATCTGTAATGGGATCTAATGGCCACTTACGGTGTGTCTGAAGACAGTTACAGTGTACTCATATAAATAAAATAAATAAATCTTTAGAAAATGGGATATAGAACCAAGCAGAGAATTTGGAAATACAAAGGACTGAAAAACACTTAAAGAAATGTTAAATATCCATAGCCATGAGAAAAATGAAATTTAATACTACTTTTAGATTTCATCTTACCCCGGTCAAAAGGACCAAGATCAATAAAACAAATGACAGCAAATACTGGTGAGAATATGGGGAAAAGTGAACACTTATTTATTGCTGGTGGGAGTTCAAACTTGTACACCTACTGTGGAAATCAGTGTAGTAAATCCTTTAAAAGCTGGAAATTGATCTACCTCAAGATCGAGCTATAACACTTATGGACACATACTCAAAGGACTCCAATATCATATTAAGGAAACATTTGCTCATCCATGTTCATTGCTGACCTATTCACAGCCAGAAACTGGAAACAGCCTAGCTATCCATCAACTAACGAATTGACCATGAAGATGGGGTACATTAACACAACCGATGTCAATGAATTTGCAGGTAAATGGATGGAACTAGAAACAGTCATCCCTAGTGAGGTGACCTACACCCCAAAAGCCAAGTACTGCATGTTTTCTCTTTTGTGCTTTCTTTTATAAGAGTTGCCTTGATCATGGTGTCCCTTTACAGCAATAGAACAGTGACTAAGACAGGTAGCCAGTAAAGTATCATGGGAGAAGAGGAGATCTTCCAAGGAAGGAGAAATAGAATATAGTGTTATAAAGAGATAAGGGAGAAAGAAGAATAGAAAGATTAAATGGAGAGGGGCATGAGAGGGCAGGGTAAAGGAGGTAATACGGGGAGGGATAATTAGCCCTAAAAGTCTTTTTAAAATTCATATACTCCCCCGTACCCCAGCAATGAGCAAAGAGATACCTTGTTGGTGGTGTTCTTATATCAGTCAAGGGCAGAGTAGATGGCAGTCCTTAGTTCATCCTTGCTGGATGCTTGGCTTGGTGGCCAAAGCTATCTTTTGCTTAGGACTCATAAAAATCAAATCAAATCAAATCAAATCATCAAATCAAATCAAATCAAATCATCAAATACAAATCCAGGCAGTGCAGGGCAGGAGAAGAAGACAGACAGAGAGCTTCAGACCACTATGCCACCCACAGACTTGCCCTCCGGTGCACAGCACAGGCAGGCCATAGACAACTTCTTGTGGTCACACCATGCAGAACCAATGGAGGATGTCACCCAGGGGTCTGCCAGCCTCTAACCACATCGCCAGCCTGCAGTGGGAGCCACCACAGTGTGTGAGTATGTGGTGGTCAGGTGGGAGAGAAAAAGAACTGGAGCGGCCTGAGCATTCTGAAGAGAGATGGAACTGGGGACCCAGAGGAGTAGCCTGTTGCGAATGGCCAGCCCCATTATATGGGGCCATGGTGAGGTTCTCTGGAGAGCTGGTCCCATCTCTCACTGCTAGCAGGGAGGATGGGCCCTGTGTGTCATTCAAGAAGCACATTGGAGCTGGCCCTAGTGATCATTTGTCTGCCACGAGGTGGCACCGGCACAGAGATGATACCTCCGCCTGTGCCCTTTGCCACCTCTGGCAGTTAGGAAAACTACCCACAGGATCATGAGCTTGAAAGAGCTACGCTGTCCCTCACCAGCTACAGCATTGAGAGATCTGGCCCTGTACCTCACCTGGACAGCACGGCAGAGCTAACCCTGGTGGTGGGGAGCAGGTGAGCCAGCCCAAAGGCTCAGCACATGAGGAGAGCTGGGCCTGCCACTCTTCTGCTATGAGGTGGAGTGGGTCATGCCTTCCCCTCTTGCTCCTCACCACATGCAGTAGTCAGGAGAGCTGGCACATGGGTCACGAAAGCAGAAGAGCTGTACCTGCCCCTTGCTGGCTGCAGCACTAGGAAGAGGAGGCCCTGTACCTCGCTTGAGCAGCAGGGGTAGTGAGGGGAAATAGGAACCAGGGGTGTGAGTGAGGGAGGCAAGAGGTGGTCTGCGTTGGGGGAGAGATGCCTTTTGCCCCCTTGCCCATAGCCACCTGAGGCAATCGGGAGAGCTGAGCCTGGGGTCATGAGAGCTGGTGAGCTGGCATTGCCCCTTGCCTACTGTAGCACTCAGAAGAACTGGCGCTGCACCTCACCTGGGAAGCACAGTAGGGCTGGCTCTGGTTAAGGGGGTGTAGATGGGCCAGCCTGGGGGAGGGGCACAGAAGAACTGGCTCTGCCACTTGTCTGCTATGAGGTGGTGTGTGTATGTGTGTGTGTGTGGGTGACCACCTCTTCTGCACCTCACTACCTGCAGTAACCAGGAGAGCTGACCCTTGGGTCATGAGAGCAGGGAGCTAGGCCTGACCCCTCACTGGCATTAGCACTCAAGAGAGTGGTCCCTGCACCTTGCATGGGCAACACAGTAGAGCTGGCCTTGATAGCAAAGGCACAAGTGAGCATGCTCCAAGGGTGTGGGAGCTGGAGAGCTGGCCCGGCCCCTCACAGGCTTTTGCACTTGGGAGAGCAGGTCTCTCACCTTGACTGGACAGCACAGTGGAGCTGGCTCTTGAAGGTACAGGTGTAGGTGAGCAGGGGAGGGCAGGAGATCAAGAGAGCTGAGCCTGTCTCCTGCAGTTGGTGGCACTGGGTGACCCACCCAGAGCAGTACTGGAGAGCTAGGCCTGGCGGGGCTGATAAGGCCAAGTTGGTAGGCTGTCCAGCTCAGCTATCATCCAGGCCCACATATAGGGCTCTGGGTTGGCCCACCCTAAATCTGTATTATCTGTGAAAGTTTTGAATGTGTGAAAGGACCAGTCCTGCTGTTCCAAGCTGTAGGATTGCCATGACACAGGGCAACGACAGGATAACCCGGAGGAGTCCCAATGAGGATCCAGTATTAATGGTGTCAGAGAAGCCAGAGGCCTCAAACCAGACCCATGGCGGCTCACTGCAATAAACATTTGCAAGTGGAGATGTATGGACAGAGGGATATACTGTGAGACACACTGTGACATACGACTTCCATGATGAGATGTTTTCTATGCTGTGTGTGTGTGTGTGTGTGTGTGTGTGTGTGTGTGTGTGTTTGGGTGGAGGGTGCAAGGGTGAAGGGTGAATATGAGGGGATGGGGCGATGAGTGAGGCTGGGGTACATGATGTGAAACTCACGAAGAATCAATAGTTAACAAAAAATCATACAGACATCTATTCCTATAGGAGCTCCCTAAAATATATACACATATGAAAGGAAATGAGTTATACAATGGGGGTGGGGATACCCAAGCTATACATCTTGTGTCACTAAATAAAACCTCCAGTGCCAGAGATGAGTTACATCTTAATGAGTTATTGCAAAGGGGTTTCATGGACACCCCCCACCCTCCCACATCTGCAAACATCACAGCCTATTGCTAAAGCTATAAGCCACCCATCACAACCTGACGATAAGGCCCTATTGCTGAAGGCCCACTTACTTACGTCATTGATCATGAAGAAACTGAGCTGGTGCCCAGCTAGACGCTTCACCCATACTGACTAGCATTCATTGTGCTAGAAGCTACCTCACTCACTATTGGACAGGAAAAGTAATCACCAATGTCACTTAGCTACAAACCTTGTGACTTGCAACAGAGACTTTCCTGAAACAGTGTCATAAATGTTATGAGAGTAATAGACCACTTTTTAAAAATTAGATTTAAGCCCCACTCCATGAGATGAAAACTATACTTGACACTGCTAAAATAGCCAAGAACTTGAGATTAGATAGGTCATTGGCTCTAGGAGAAGTCCTACTACTATCATTCTGCTAAGGGGGCAAAGCAGTAAAAATGACCTTTAATTATAATGTTGCTGAACTCAATGCATCATTCCAGCCTCATGAGAGAAGCCCCCTCTCGCAGCCAATGATAATTAACAGAGAGATCACAATTGGACAGCGGGCAGAGGGTAAGAGACTTTGGAGAACTCAGTCCCAAGTGGTACGTTTTTATCAAAATTCTTCCCTAAAGGCATATATATCCAGAGGTGGTTGATGACTCCAAGAAAATAGTGTCATCTAAACACAGCATGACAAATACACGTTCGCATGGGACACCATGCATTGGCCTGCACAAGTTCAAACCAGACAAAAATCTCAGCCTTGAGAAGGGAAAGTATGCACAAAGTTTCACCCCTAATCAAAATGTTATTTGCTATCAATACCTGCTAGGGAAGGGAAACTTGGGTTTCTTCAATGGTAGAGATGCCAGGGTGAACGCCATACCCAGGACTAGTTGTCTAACACAAAGTGGACTCCATAGATTTTTATGCACTTTTTTTGATAATTTTTTATATTATTAGGTTTGCTTATTTTGTTTTGTGTGTGTGTGTGTGTGTGTGTGTGTGTGAGAGAGAGAGAGAGAGAGAGAGAGAGAGAGAGAGACTATGAAATTGGATGCGTAGGTAGGTAGGCATCTAGCAGGATTTGGAGAAGGGAAAGAATATGATTAAATATATATTATGTAGAAAGTAATTTCTAGAAAAATGGAGCGGTAATCATGTATATATCAGAAAAATATTATGACAACTGCATGGAAAAAATTGATATGATAATGCCTAGCAAAAGACAGCTGCCAACTGCTCTCAGAAATCTTGGAGAATTCTAGGTTTTCATTTCTAAGCTCCTTAGGTAATGCCCAATTTTTAACAGTTGTGAGAGCATGTTTTAGTTCTCTCTGTGAAATCTGTAGTGTTGCCTGGGTCAGGACCGAGTGTCGATAAAGCACTTCAAAAGGAGGAAAGGATAGAACAAGACCCCTATCCTGTTCACGGACTTCCAAGGAAGACGGGCCTTCTAGTCTAATTCATTTATTGGTTGGATCTTCTTTTCAATATTCTTGGCAAGTTGTAGTTTAGGACACTGTCTCTCAAGCTTCAGTAGACATCAGAAACACATGAGACTTGCTGAAGTCCAGACTGCCAAGCCTCAGCCTCAGACTTTCTGGATCATAGGTCTGGATGGTTCCTTTGCATTCTCATTTCTAACGTATCTCCAGATATTGTTGCTGTGTGTCTGGGAACCATGCTTGAAGAACATTTGATCTAAACAGGACCTAGAACATCCAGAGGCAGAGAACTCTCCACCTCCTGAGTCTTCTGCACCCAGTTTCCAAGAGCTTGACACAGTCATACATGAGTTTGGAAGGAAAGGGTTTGTTTGTGTGTTTTTCATATTGGTTTGAACTCTGCGGTCCCTACCCCTTGGGCCCAGAGGCTCTTTATTGTGCCCCCTTGGCAACAGAGTTAGACATCATTTGTCACAGCTTTAACAGAAAACACTTTTATTAGATTTGGTTTGTGAGTCACTATTCTCACAGCAAAAAGGAGACTGACTATAACTGACACTCAGAAAATACAGCAAAAACCTTAAAGCCATTCTAGGGGAAAAATATGATCTATTTCTGGGATGACATCACTCAAAGAAATTCATTTAAGACACTCAAGGTGTTTGGGGTAGGAGATACACAAGCAACTGTCGCCAGTAGGAATTCCTGGGAAAGCTACAACAGCATCTCTCAGCTTGGAGAATATATATTTTTAGTGATGAATAGGCTAGTGATCTTCTATATGTTTTACCAAAGCCTTGTGGACACAAGACTAGTCCAGCAATGAAACGCATATTTTGGCACACAAACCACTTGCTGGAGAAATAAGAATTTAATGGACATATATCTGAAAGTTCCTAACACTTTAGGGAGATTTTTGAGATTTATTCTAGCACGCCATCCAATGAGTTTTATTGGGGACTGCTAAAATATATACTTTTAGTAGGAATAGGTAAGCACAAAACATGGACACCGCTGAAAAAATACTGGCCATGCCAAAGTAACTGCCATAAAAGTTCACAGAACGTTTCAGAAGAGAACCAGAGAGACTTTATAGGAGTTGGCGGTCTAGTGGAGCCCCAGCTAGGGTCTCATTTTAAAGACGCATGTAGCGGTTTCCAAGGAAAAGCAGGCAGTTACTGTCTTTGAAGGGACCAGTCTTGCTAATTACTGTAGC